TTGCTGCAATAGTAATTGCATTTCTCAATGGTTTTTATTTTGGCCAAAGTAAAGAAGAAAGCGACAATAAATTTATTAAACAATATCGGATGAAAAAAGCTCTGCTTATGGTCCAACGATTTCTCACGATATTCGGGGAGAATCATTTCTCATCCAAAAAAAAATAATTACTTAATTATAAACAAACAACTTCCATAGACACTACCTTCTGCATTACAAACAACTTCCACCACCCTAATTCGATCCTTGCCGATCTCCCGTAGTAGTTACATTATCGATTTCATCAAAGACTTGACACTAATTGTTGTCAAATCCGAGTAGAAGGTAAATGTACGAATCCAAAACCTCGATTTCATTTACATACTTGCTTTAAACTATTTCAACTGTATAATCATATTACATACTTGCTTTTTATTTGGTTTGTTTAATTTTTTGTAGATGGCGATTTGGAACCATTGGACATATATCTCTCCTATGCAAAGATAGGTGATGAATTCTGTTTATTTGAGGTGCGAGGAGGTTTGATGGGGTGAATGATAGATAATGATGATACCGCGGTGATGATGGATGATGATGATATATGTAGTTATGGGAGAGAGAGAAGAGGGGATGGAGTAAGGGGGGTAATGCGGCCAAAGTGGATTAAGAATCCTACACTCTAAAGGAAACTATTGTAAATTTTAAATGTAAAATTTTGTTAATCTTGACACAGAAGGAAAAATAGATAAGTAATCATCATAAACCAAATCTCTAAAAAATCTCCTAAAATTTTGAATTCAGAATGCAGTAATATATCATAGGTGATAAATGAAATACTTTCAAAATCAAGTCTCGAAATTTTTCCAAATCAAAATAATCTGTCAAAATTATAAATTTCAAAAATTGCCTCAAAAGATAAATCAAGTCTTAATTTTAAGGTAGCAATGTTTCTTTTTGAAATAGAATATAATACCTAAAATATATGAAAAATCAATGGTAAAGTAAATATATTTCTTCCTCAATCCTTTTTTGTAATTTTCATATTTCTTGGTTTTGAAAAATTTATTCTACTTTTTGAATTTCTCCCGTTATTTAATTTTTAAAAATACTTTTTCCGTCTCAAAACTCAATGTGAAATATTTTTTTGGGACCGAAGGAAAAGTAATTATGAATCTATTAATAAAATCATAATCTCCATAACGTAATAAAATTTTAGGAGCCCAACAGTATAAATTTGGAGAATTTTTAAAATATCATCAATTTTGTACAAAAAAAGTCCTACCAATTATTGAAAATTATTTAAATTTTGAATTTAAACCACAAACATGAAAAAATTTGTCATATTTTATAATCGAATGATATGAAAAACCGGTGAACATATATCATTATAGTAAAAAAGTAATCAATCTATAAATATTATCAATCATTAATATACCGCGCAACCGCGGGAATAATACTAGTATATATAAGAAAATGTCCTCAAGAATAACCTAGTATAATTTGAACTGCAGCTCGAGTACCATACTTATTACCACTATCATAAATATTTTAAAATAATATTTATTCTTTTCGTTTCATAATGATTATCTAGTTTGAATTTTTATTTTTAATAAAAATTATACTAAAATTAACAATCAAATAAGATAATCATTTTGTAATAGAGAAAGGTTTTAAAAAATCTCGTGAAAAAAAAAGGCCCCTATCTACAAAAAATAGAAAGTGGATTCCTGTAATACAGGAATTGTGTTCGCTGAACGCATGTGTTAGAAAGTGGATTCCTGTAGTACAGGATCCACTGTTGTTCCCCACATTGAGACCCTGCACTATAATGCCTATATATTGGGAATCTGACTCCACAAAGCACCATTTTCGTCCTTTGTTGCTTCTTAATTACTTTGATGAAGAGTCGTTATCTGTGGCGCTGTCAGTACGAAGGCCAGAGTCTCCATATTCATAGCGCCATCCCAGTTGCATTTCAATATTTAACCAGACCGTCCATCAGTAACTAGCGACAGTAACGAATTTAAAATAAAAGTAAGTAGGAATATGTTACTAGCAACATTAACGGGTTTAAAATTAAAATTAGTAGGAATATGTTAATATACGTAGTAATTTGGTTAGTGATTAGTTCAAACTCATATCTCTTTTCAGGAATCGAGAGTTGCCCCAGTTGAGAGAAAGAGATTTCCAAAAAAACTCATAATCGATTCTTAAGAACACAAAGTGGAGAGGGGATTCTGGGGATAGTTGTAGCGATAGAATAGTTGGTAAAAATAAATAAAAAAATAAAAAATAATATTTACTTCCGCAACCTATGTATTTTTCTTTTACATAAAGAAAAACATATTTAAAATTAAATTCATTTTAGTTTGTGTCTTATAAAATTAAATTACATAAAACAGAAATGAAACTTCAGGTTCACATAAATTATAGAATTACAAAACATATATTACTTCTATTTTTAAATAAGTTGCAATTAGTTTTTTTTTTTTTTGTGCATATTGCAAGGGGTGTACAATTAGTTTTTATTTAATAACCGTAATTATTGCTTTCCCCCCTCTGAAATGGCTCTGTAAGTCTTTATCACTGATATAAATACATACTCCCTCCGTGCCATAAAAATAGTTCACATTAAGTTTTGAGTTTTGTACTGTTTTTAATACAAATTTAAAAATTTAATATGAACTATTTTTGTGGAATGGAGATAATACAATTTTCCTTCGTACCCGCGTACAACTTAATACTGCTCCTCATATCTGAACTGTCTTTCTAATGGGCTTTAAGAAAATAATTTGAAAGCAAATTGACAAAACAAATTAGTGACCTAAATTTCAACTCGATTTGACAGTAGATAAGCTATGTTTGGAAGGTTTTTTGAGTGTATTTTTTTGTATTGGGAACGTTAAAAGGTGTATTAGAAATGTAAAAAGGTACATTTTGAATGTAAAAAGGTATGATGAGATAGGATAAATATTAATTAAAATTTCTGAAAAAATGAGTGAAAAAAGGAACCAAACATAACAAGATTACATATGCCTATTACATATGGGTTGGTAAGGGTGCATCAATATTGGCCCATCATAGTCCAACCCTTTATTTATCAGTGTCTCTCCGAGTATGAAGTATCCCCAGATTTATCTATACCCAAAATATAATATTAATTCTCTGTTGAACTTAATAGTCATATGTCGGGCGGTATGTCTATGATATTAGCCTTACATCATCTTTTTTACTTAGGAGCAAGAGAGTAATTTCGTAAATGGTAAAGTGGACCATTTCTTTTCTATGATATTTCATACTCGGTTACACTGATAATTTTTTGTTTCTTTTTTATGACGTTCATTTTATAATGTGCGGAACATAAAATTTGGGAACAGTTTTTTTTTTTTAAAAAAAAGAAAATAAATTGTTTTATTCGTTTATTGAAAATCGTAACATGTCATTTTGTATTTTTTTACCATAGATGAAGCTATATGGACCTATTTCATAAATTTGGTAGACATATAACTTGCCAGATTTTGTATTTGGTCTTAAATATATCTCTAAAAATATTAAAAACTCTAACCATAATAAATACTTCTCGGATAACTGATTCTTTGCGGCACATATATAACATTGTAATAATCAGCGTCATCACGAACAATGCAATCAACAAACCTGCCCAATCAATAGAGCAATCTGCTCGAAAAACACTTCTCAAAAGAAACAAAGAAAAGAAAACCCCTATTATTGCAGTAGATTATATATACGAAGGTCATTAACTCAAAACTAGTTTGTAAGAAATAATCACTTATTGAAGATAAAGAATAACAACGAAAAGGACTAGGAAAAATTATTTTTCCCATCCTTCCATAGTGAGAAGGTAGAGAAATTTTTTTTTCCTGGAAGTTGAATTTGAGAGAAAGAAGAGAGGGCTGCTAATTCTTAAACAGTAATTTAGACTCAGCCAAAGACCTTACGAAGTTACATTCTACGAGTATTCTAGTAGTCAACATATTTGACTGAGTATTCTCTTAGTATGTTCTTTCGATGTTCTTTCCGAAGAATTTCTTAATTAGCTAGTAGTAGTAATATTACAATTCTTATTTGTCATATTGAGCTCATTGTCATTTCTCCAACTACTTTGTTTGGTGGTTAATAAATCAATAATCAATTTCTCCTTTGTCAGTATAGTTAAATACGACATTTTGACAAAGAGAATGATTTTTTGAAAAAGAAGCAGCAATTTATTAATTGAAAAATAAATCATTAAAAAGGAAAGAAAAAGTGATTAGTATATTAATTTGGCTTGGTGGTTAATAAGTCAATTATTAATTTCTCATTTGTCAGTATAATTAATACGCCAATTTGACAAACAGAGTGATTTTTGGAAAAGAAGCATCACAACTCCCTTTCTCTGCTTTCTTCTAATGGTATTTTTTCTTCTTTTCTTGTTGTAATTTTTAATTAATATACTAATCAATTTTCTAATCTGTGTTTTTCTAATTTACATAAATTTACAAAATTTTACATAAATTTCTAATTTACATAAATTTACATAATTTTTAATTAATATTCTAGTTGTAATTTACATAAATTTTAAATTTTATTTATTGATTGCAAAAAAAATAATCGAAAAAGAAAGAAAAAAATCACTCGGCTGCAGATAAAGAGGGTATGATCTTTCACCATAGTGTTCGTGATTTATTAGTACCATCATATTGTAGTAGTTTCACTTATAATATTTGTTTCACGACTTTGAGTGACTCAAAAACATTCAAATTTCATATGTTTGTTTAATAGATTTATGGTTTTGTGCCAAGATAATATTTTGTACAAAAGTAAAAAATTTAAACTGAACAATAATTTTGAGATGAAAAAAAAGAAAAAAAAAAACCAAACAAAAGCAAATAAGATTTGGCAATGGGAGGCCATAGTATGGTGGCGTGACATTTCGCTGGCCAAAATGGAAGAACCATGCACATGTAGTCATGTCTCTATAACTTGCAGACTTGGGAAACCAGGTTTTCCACATGGACGGCTAATTAATGCGTACATGAGGGAATTTTTTTTTGAAGACTATCTATATCTCCTCTCGTTAAATCCACAACGACATTTTTCTCCTATAAATGTGACTTGAGCAGAAGGCCTATAGTGCACCACATAAAACATATAAGCTCAAACTTCTTTGTCCATTCTCTGTCATTCATTTAGCTTTCTGATTTTACCAGCTATAAATTATCCTCACATTACTAGTGAAATTTTTTCGCATTTAACCTCTCAATGTGGATGTGAATGTAAGTCATATGCTATAATCGAACCACCTAAATCTTTGCATCCATCATAACAAAAAATAAACATTTCTGATTTGTTGTCAATATAAGCAGTTCAAGACTTTCTTTTCCGTAAAAACGAAGAATACAAATCTCCAAAGCACATATATACAGAAAATATAGGAGCAATGGGATCGTTGGGAGTAGAGAATGTGACTAAAAGCAAGGTGCTGATAGTAGGGGGAACAGGATACTTGGGGAAGAGGTTGGCGAAGGCAAGTCTAGAACAAGGTCACGAAACCTACATTCTTCATCGTCCTGAGATAGGTTTTGAGATTGAAAAAATCGAAATGCTCTTGTCATTCAAGGCACAAGGCGCTCACCTCGTACCGGGTTCGTTTAATGATTTCCAGAGCTTAGTTGATGCTTGCAAATTAGTTGACGTTGTCATTTGCGCAATTGCGGGTGTTCATGTCCGATCCCATCAGATTTTGCTTCAGCTCGAGCTGGTGAAAGCCATCCAAGAGGCTGGAAATGTCAAGGTATCCAATATATGCATGTCTAAGAATAATTGTGTTATTTCTTCTTTGCTTTGTTTTGATTTTGACTTGATGTGATTGACTGAATAAATAATCACAAGAAGATTCCCTTTTTTACTTTGTGTATCTTAAGGTTTTGTCGGAATGCGATTACCCAAAATAAACATACTAACACTATATTCAGACGAATTTTCATAGTACACCCACCATCTCTAGAGTACTTTTCCACGTTATTCATAACCAAATCAGTCATGCTGGTCTGACACGTTCACTGATGCTTATTTTCTTTTACGCATGTATTTCATTTCAATCATCGTACCAAAAAAAAAAAAAGAGAGTAAAGTATCTTTGTTAATTACTTCAATTCAATTTCTTCTTCTTTTTCTTTTTTTTTCCCCATTGCCTTAATAAATTGTAACAATTATGAAATTGTAGAGATTTATACCATCGGAGTTTGGCACGGACCCGGCAAGGATGGGGGAAGTAATGGAAGAAGGGCGTGCGACATTTGAAGATAAAATGGTGATAAGGAAAGCCATTGAAGAAGCTGGCATCCCTTTTACCTACGTTTCTGCCAATTGCTTGGCAAGTTACTTTGTTGGTGGTCTATGCCAACCCGGGATAATCCTCCCTTACGCGGATTCTGTACTCATTCTTGGTGATGGCAACCAAAAAGGTATATTGTTTTTTTCTACTCAGAATGAAATTTTAGTTCCCGAAAAACTAGTGCGATGGTAAGGGTGACAGATTGTGAATATGAAATTAATGTATCAAACGTAATACGTGTTATAATTGTTATAACTATGAATTGGTTATTCTGTGCAGCAATATATGTCGCTGAAGATGATGTAGCTACATACACAATCAAAGCCATAGGTGATCCAAGGACACTCAACAAGACACTCTACTTGAGGCCTTCTCGCAACATCCTTTCACAAAGGGAGGTGGTTCAATTGTGGGAGAAATTAATCGGGAAACAGCTAGCCAAGGACTTGATCTCTAAAGAACAATTTCTATCAATCATGAAAGGTACTCAGAAATATATTATATTATATAATTCTTTTCAAAACTGTCGTCGTTATATAAGTTAGTTTTTGCTTTGATATTTTTAATATTTCATTTTTAAAAGAGAAAAAAAAAATGAGAATTGTCTTTTCCAGCATCTTTTTCGGGTACGAAATATCTTTCTCTAGCGTTTATTCATTTGACGTTAAATTCAACTGCATTAGTAATCTCTCTTAGTTTATTATTTTTTTCAATGAGAAAGTTGATTTATCTTTTCAATGAGAAGTTTCATTACATTTATCTGTGTTTCCATCATTAATTCAGAAAACATTTGAGTGGAAAGTGATCATGGCCCACAAATTATTTATAAATTTTCTAATGATTAGTTTCCCTTTTCCAAGGGTACTATTTTGTTTGAGCATCATTTGATTTTTCCTACTTGAATGAATGTACGTGCGTATAGGACTAGGCTATGGAGAGCAAGTTGGAGCAGCACGTTACTATCACATTTTCTACGAGGGATGCCTTGCCAATTTTGAGATCGCAGAAAATGGTGAAGAAGCTTCAGAACTGTATCCCGATGTTAAGTACACGACTGTGGAAGACTACCTCAAACGATATCTTTGATCATTGAAACATCTAACGTTTTTGGGTGTGTATTTTGATGAAATCTAATGTTGGTTCTTTTAATTTGGCACCCCAAAATAGGGTGACGGATCTTGTGTGATTAATTGGTTATCCATTAGTTATCATGTTTTGATATTTTGATGAAATGAAATAAGTTGCTCCTTCAGACTGGCTTTTTCATTTTTATGACTCGATAAATCATGACCCTTAAAAATAATCCAAAATATTAATATTACAATTTTCCACCACCATCGTTGCATACCAAACCCTTTCAAGTAAGTCCTTCAAGCTGGTGTGCTACAATTTTGTTGTTGTATCTTTGAGTTTTTTTTTTTCCCTTAACCAAAGCACCCTGTTGCCTTCCATTTTAAGGATTATATAGAAATACATGAAGTAATACTTAAAATTAAGCTCGACTTTAAACAATTTTTTATCTCCCATTGTATGCATGGCCAATCTTTTAGTGGATATCATATTATTATTTTTTTTTGAAAAAATCATAATCATTTAGAGAGAATCTCTTAATTATCTTCAGATTTTTTTTGTTAATATTCTCTGTAACCAATTATTTATGCTCTGTTTGGTTGCATTGAATTGGGACCAAGAATTAGAATTGGCACTTTCTAATTTCAATTCTTGTGTTTGGTTGATAAAAATAGAGGTCCAAGAATTAGAATTATAATTCAAGATGTGACTCAATTCTTTATTTTCAATTCTTTTGTGGGAGCAAATAATTAGAATCCAAATTCAAGGGACTTAAAAAAGAGACGCGGGTCACAACCGGGTTGTTTCCGGGTTATAACCTAAACGGGTCGCCTTCTCAATTTTTACCTTTTGTCTTTATTTTTTTTATTTTAAGTTTTTTTTTTTGGGGGCTTTCATCCCTGCGCTGCTTTCTTCTTTTCTTTGGTTTTCCTTTTTTTTTTTGGTCTCTTTCTCTCATTATTATTATTCTTTCATATATATCAATTAATAATTATCAACGAAATCAAACTAAAATTAACATTGTATTTTTTTACAAAAAAATCAAAAGTATAGCTGTACCAAAAAAAATTTATTAACTAAATATTTTAGTTTTGGGTTAAAATTTTTAATATATTATGACATAGTAAACAATATAACATTTTCAAATTTTTTTTTATAGAATTTGTTCCATATATACACCTATAGTATAATATTATATATATATATATATATATATATATATTAAACTATTCATGCATCCAATTCTAAAGTATCCAATTTTTTATGCATCCAAACATAAGAATTGGAATTAAAACCTTTCCAGTAAATTTTCAAGATCTCCCAAACAAAGAAATTGAAATTGAATTACAATATTATTATCTCATTTTCAATTCAATAGTATTGTAATTCTAATTCAATTGCAATTCAATCTAACCAAACAGAGCCTTAGGGTTTTTTAAATTCTAAATCAAAACGTAAAATTATTAATATATAATGGTAATATAAAATTTTTTACCCCAAGTTAATTGGACTTATAAATTTCGCGGCATTTTTCATCCTCTATTAATGTATATAGATTAATAATCAATTAGGATTGATTCTCACTTTCCCTCCACAAATTTTATTAGTACTGTATAAGAAATTATTTTTAGGAAGAATATTTGCTTCTCCGAAAAAAATCCCAACACAAATTTGTGGTAACAACCGCCCGGGAAATTTCCAACCGCCCCGTATGGAATGACGTGGCCAACCTGAACGCATTGTTGGCTTTTGGTTTCAATATGCCGTTATCCACTTCCCTCAAGTTTTCTGTTCTTTCTATCTGCTGTCCTTCGCATTCAATTCCAAAAGTAAGAATTCTTGAAAGCAAAATTACAAACAAAAATTAACCATGATTTGGCTATCTTTTAATGATTAGCTGAAATTAATTTCAGGGTTCAAATGGTAGAAGTTTTCTATTGAAGAGGAAAGACTTCAATATATGGAGTAAAGAAATCAATTTTCACAGGACTTCAAGGAATGGCCAATTTACAGTCAATTCAGCAGCTGGAGACAAGGGCTATTCTGTTGGATATGATGTGCCGTTTCCAAATGATTATTCTGAACTCCTTCAACAAGTAAGTGTTTTGTTTTCCAGCGAATTGATTTCTGGTGATTTTAATTGTGCCTGAGTTTCTTGCCAGAAAAATATGCTAAAAGGGGTTCAATTTGATCAATTATGTTTGTGGGAAGATATAGGATTCTCTAATTTTGAATTACACAAATCCCTTTCCTAATTTGACCAGAATCCATAGGAAAAAGGACTAATCTATTGGTTACATTTGGAGCGTAGAGAATAGCAGATTGATAAAGTTGTTTGAATTGTTCTGTTTTTTATTGACCCTGTTACTCCCATCAGGCTGATTGATAAAGGACTTAACAGAAAGTTGCATACTGAAAATGCATTATCTGGTCCCTGGCTTTTTCTTGTTCTTTCAATCACCTTTCTTCAGCATAACTAAACTGGCAGGCCTTTTTAAATACAGGCTAAAGAGGCAACTGAATTAGCTCTCAAGGATAACAGACAGCTCATGGTGAGTTGTCCTTTGCTATTTACCTTTTCCTCATAATGATATTGGCATGGCGCAACCGCATGGTTTTACGGCTCCAATAGGAATGTAAGCAACAAGTTTCTGACACAGGAAATTGAATTTCCAACTGCTGGATTGGAATCTGTGCCAGGTTTCCACTTTTTTTGTGTTTGTGTATCGAATTTTTATCTGTTGCCTCATACCAAATGATGACCTTTTTCATGATATTGAGACATTGTTGGTTATTACTGTGATCATATCAGGTGATGGTGAAGGTGGTATTGAAATGACTGAAAGTATGCGTCTTATCCGTGAGTATTGTGATCTCTTTGTTACTCCAGAGAAAGTTACACGAACCAGAATAGTAAGCAATCAATAGTTTCTTAGAGCAAGAGTTTTTAAGTACCGCTAATATAGGCCTCGGTAATCATACCACAGCAGAAATTTTGCTTGTGAAGCATTCACAGTGATCAAACAGATTTTGGTCTGACACACTCTCATTTTTACAGTTTTTCCCAGAGGCAAATGAAGTTCAATTTGCAAGGAATTCAGTTTTCGGTGGGGCTTCCTACAAGTTGGATTATCTGACAAAACCATCATTTTTTGAAGATTTTGGGTTTGTTGAAAAAGTTAAAATGTCCGACCGTGTTAAGCCTGAAGATGAGGTTTTTGTAGTTGGTTATCCATACTTCAATGTCAATGGTAATTTCAGAATCTCAACTCTTTATCTCTGTCCTCTGGCATAAACTTTTTTCTATTTAACTTGGTGTTTGTTGTTCTTTTAAGCATATGCGCTCTAAACTTTTTGTGATACAGAAATGCTTGTTGTCGAAGAGCTTTACAAAGAGGCAGTAGCTACCACTTCCCGGAAACTGATCATTTTTAATGGAGAACTTGACCGGATAAGATCAGGGTGTATCCTTGAATGCAATGATGTAGATTTTAAGTGTGCATTCCATTTCTCTCAATGCTTTTTTTATCTTTTTCATTTGGCTGCGGAAAACGGCCTCATCTGAGAAAACTTAGTACAAAGACAGACACAAATGCATATACATTAACTGTAGAATTCTACCTTTAGGAACTTCCTGAGCTATGAATTCCAAATAATTGTCTTGGTAAACTTCCGAGGATATTATGCTGCTGTAAAACCACAATTAATGAAATTTGTATCCATACAAATTTTGTTTTGATTGAGTACTTTGAAAATCGACTATCTGAAACTCTTCAAGTATGAACTGTGTGTAGATTGCCATCTGATATTGTAGACAACTGGTTTGGTGCCTTCGCTGTTACAGAAGTTATCCTCAACATATAAGATTATCCATCATTCTTCTATCCGAAGCTGGCTGCACTTACCACAACTCTATTTCCAAAGATGGAGACTGTGTATTACATTCACAATTTTAAAGGACAAAAAGGAGGAGTTTTATTCAGGTTAGCTACGTTGGTTGATCTCCTCATCCAGAACTATCTACTGAAGATTGTTTCGGTACCTTTGGACGAATCGCTTCATTTGGAACTTGGCTATGTACTTACGATTTTAATGTTAAAATTTGCAAACGAGTGCAAAACTCATCAAAATCACTTGTTTAAAGACAGGAAGTACTTGTTTTTACTACTTCTCTTGTACTCATATTCACCATCTTCGTTTCCTCCAAACGCTTATGCAGGAGCTACCCTGGACCCTGGAAAGTGCTAAGGAAAACAAGAAAAGGATATAGTTGCTTGCACCAGCAGGAATCCATGCCTTCTCTCAAGGAAGTAGCACTTAACATCCTTCCGTCAGCTTAAAATTTTCTGTCGTTTAATTGTGCAAAATATCAACAATATTGCAACGGATGATCCTTAATGTTTGCCATACGAAAATGATGCAAGCTCAATTGAATGTCTCATTCCTTAATTTATGATAACATTGTACCATTCTTGTGCATAGAAGTACTGAAGTGTTTCGGATATTGTACTGCCTAAATACCATAATCACTTTCTCATTCTCCTTTCAGTTAATACTCACATCATCATATTCTAATGTCATCCTCCCAGTAAGCATCATTTTAAACAAGTAGTCGCAAAGATGAGGACAACAACAAAGGAGACACGCTATCTTGATTTCACAGATTTTGTTTAACATACAAACAAAGATAGATACTTCTTGAACCATTTCTCTTTTATTAAAAATAATGAAATCATCAAACTCACATGAGTGATGGGGAATTTGAACTCGAGTTACTTAGAAAAAGAAGAATCCTTGTCATTAGCACGGTTTAAGCGTGTCATAGCGCGCGGCAACGGGCAACCTCATTGCTCATCTCTCACTCTTCGGTCGATGTTTTCCTCTGATAATGCATCATCATTAAAGCTCCTCCAGAAGATTCTGCAAGAAGCAACAAGGTTCTTGAAGCACAGCTGAAGAAAAGAAAAAAAAAGAAAAAAAAAAGAGCATATTGAAAAATTTACGCTCCAAATAGTGTTAGAAAGATCAGATTATTTTTCTGGGACCAGATGTACTTGATTGAACATACTCATCTTGATGAACTGAATTAGAATAATTTCAATAAATACAACCATAAGTTGGGTAAAGAATCAGCTTTGTTTCTGAACTACTAATTCAGTCCAAACAGTAATCTATAGTCAGTAATGTACCTTTAACCAAACTGATTTTTTTCTCTCTCCTTTTTTTCACCAAAACTGAAAATTAAACTCTTAAAATTGCACAATGGAAATTACTATTGACGAGTCCATATTCATTACCAACATTGGACCGGCCCATTAACCGCGTAGGAGGTCCAACCGAGTCTGATAAGGCGGTTTAGGTAACCGAAACCTAGTAATATTCAGTTATCCCCCAGGTGCTTTCATGCCTCTAAATAGGGTTGGTCGCACCACAATACTGGTACGCAATCTCTAGCTTAGCACACTACGCATTCAGACGTTCTTAAAACCCTTTACTGACTTAAGCATCGGAGTGTCTACCCTTGGGAGACTCCCGAGGCTTTATTTTGCAGGAAACTCTAGCCGGAGTTCCACTGTTAGACCGGCGGTGTAAAACCAAGCTTCGTCAAGTGGCATGCTCAGTGGGACCCGATAACTAGGGTTTGTGTCACGAAAACCTTCTCAGGTTTTCTTAACATGTTCCGGTGAGATCTAAGGTTGCAAGAATAATCAGTGCAATGGTTAGGGGTGAAGAAGGCACCAGCAGCACAACATCTTCCGGCAGACGACATAGTCCGGGAGACAACACCACCCTAGCAGAATTCCAACGCAGACAAGAAAGGAAGAAAGCGGGAAAGAGCCATGAAGGAGGACCTGAAAAGAACCAGCGAAAGAACGCTTGGTCCTTGGTTCTTCCCGGCCAGATCCGAAGAAACAAGACAAAGCTAATCATCCACCCAAAAAGGAGGATGTGCTTTCTCCTCGAAATACCCCTACTGCCAAGAAACGTTTGGAGGATCAGAAGCTGGCCAAGGTCGAGGCAGAACTCAAAAAGCTAAGGGATGACAGCGATCAACAACAGAGGATGCGAAAATACGTCCTCGAGGAAACCAGGCGAAGCTGTCTCCTTGGAAAACCTGATCCCACAGAACAGGAGTCGAGTGATTTGATCGAAGAGAAAGAAGCTCGCCGAATCCTAGCCCTTCTCAAGAAGAAGGGGGGCAAGCGGAAGGTCCAAGAGAACATGGATTACCATGAAGTTGAGGGTTATGAAGACCTCCACGAAGACCGCTCAACCGCCACTCGAGACACCGTATTCTGGAATGCTTTCAGAGAAAGATACCCAGCATTCGATACGGCCCTTGAAGAATATGACGCAACATACAGGCGTAAAGGTGCTCGAGAAAATCATGGTTCTCGAGTATCGAGGTCATTTAAGAAGGAGAAGGGAATCCTCCAAGGCGAACTAATGTGCACGACCGCCTGGGACCTCATTGGAACCGAAGAAGTCCTCGAAGAGAGGAGTATAGACCTGGCTATGAACCATATCAAGGTAACAACAACATCAAGGGCTATCATGATCGAGGATACCATCACCGTCCTCAGCACTCACCTCCCAGACATCAGCAATATAACAGGCATAGAGAAAATCCGCCATACCTCCATGGAGATCAGCAGGGAACAAGAGATCAGAATGTCTTGATTCGAGAAGAAATGAGGAAGATCATTGGGATAGGGGTAGATCAGAGTCCCTTTATCCCTGACATTCGAGATGAACCTAAGCCCCGAGACTTTGACTTTCCTAAGGAATTTAAACCATACTCAGGAGATACATATGTCTCTCAATGGCTGCAAGGATATGTCCAGGTTATGAGAATTTGAAACGCAACTATGAATTTCATGGCCAAACCCCTATCTTCTTACTTGGCGGGGTTCGCACAGCGATTGTTCGAGCAATTGCCAGAAGGGAGTATAATTAGTTTTGAGGACTTATCCGTCAAACTAGCTACCCAATTATTTCAGAGTAAATGCATATCACAAATGTCCATTGATCTCTCTTCAATCAGACAAGGGCAACATGAGAGTCTCACCGATTTTCATAAACGGTTCATACAAGAAACCTTGCAAGTCGACAACATTGATGATCGAGATGTTCGCAACAGATTCATCAAAGGCTTCAACCCTTTTGGAAAATCCTCAATGTTGGGGGTCAAGCTCTCGACTAAGCCCCCTGAGAGTGCTCAGGAGATGTGGGCTATTGTCGAGAATCATATACAATGAGAGCATACACTCAAAATATCCTAGGAATCTTTTGCGTCGGTAGGACCTAGAGACAAACCAAAGGTTCCCATGGAGAACATACCGACGTTGCCCAAGATAGATAGGCAGTTAACACCCCTAACCAAGCCGCGGCGAGAAATCCTCCAGATCCATAAAGACGAGTTACCAGCCCCGAAACCTTTAGCACCTAATCCAAATAGGTCAACGAAACAATACTGTGAATATCACAAGGATCACGGCCATGACACGGAGGATTGTCGAGAATTCAAAAGGGAAATCGAGAATAGGGTTAGGTCTAGCAAATTTCAGCAGTACGTACAAGGAGCCTCTCGACAAAAGAATAACAAACCCCAATCACGAAATTACCCCAAAAGGAACTTCAAGGGCCCCCCGCGAGGAGATGGCCAGGGGAACAATTGGCAGTCGAGAGTCAATACTGAACAACAGCCTCAGCAAATTACTGAAGGAACACCGCAACCACTCCAACAACTCTCCCCGGCAGATCCGACGAAGCAGATCACTCACCAGGTAGGGGCCATTTACGGAGCTCCCCTCGAGGTCTTGTCCACCACGGCCATGAAGAACTCGTTGCGGCTTATAACCAAAACCCCTCGACAGGAGCCTAGCCACAAGAGGTTCAAGGGGAAGGAGGCCATCGTATTTACGGATAGCGATGTGGTACCGGATATCTGCCCGCATAGCGATGCCATGGTTATCGAGGCAATAATTACAAATGTGAAGGTCGGGAGAGTTTATGTGGATAATGGCAGCGCGATCGACATCATATATAGCGATTGCTTCAAGAAGATGAATATCAAGAATCTTAGCATCTGCCCAGCCACAATGCCCTTGATAGGATTCTCGGGCCAAATCATTATTCCAACAGGAATAATTAACCTCTCCATCTCGGTAGGGTCGCATCCTAGGACGGTCACATTAACCATGGACTTTGCTCTGATAGATGCACCCTCGCCGTTCAACGTGATTCTAGGACGACCCTGGATGTGCCAGGCACGTGCAGTCTGGTCTCCCTATCACCTAGTAATGAAATTCCCAACAGAGTATGGAGTTGGAGTGGTACAAGGATGGCAGCGTAGCTCTCGAAAATGCTTGCTCACAGCAGTTAGAATCAGGAAAAAGATTGTGCAACTTAACCCAGGTACTGCTATGTCGGAGTGCTACTCAATCCAACAAACATCTGTATCATCATGGATGGAGGATCACAAAACCTCCAATCTCCCACCACTCGGCAGTAAGACACGAGAGCTGATCATAAGCGAGGCAGATGCCGCTAAAACCATTCAAATCGGCGTCTCTCTTTGCGATCATTGCTAGCCGAGGTTAGTGCCTTGCTACACGAATTCCGTGATGTATTCGCTTGGTCTCTTGCGGACATGATAGGAGTCCCTAGGGAGGTTATGGAACACAAGCTAAATGTCGACCCAAACGTCAAACCTGTGCAGCAAAGAAGAGGATATTTGCTTGTGAACACAATGACATCATCAACGAGGAAACGACGAAGTTAGTTCGTGCCAACATACTCCGAGAAGTCATGTGGCCCACTTGGTTAGCCAACCAGTCTTAGTGCGAAAACCCGATAATTCTTGGCGCATGTGCCAAGATTACACTGACCTCAACAAGCATTGTCCCAAAGACTGTTACTCCTTACCAGTCATAGATCAGATGGTCGAAGGTATTGCTGGGTATAGGACCCTCAGTTTTCTTGATGCTTACAAGGGATACTATCAGATCCTCATGGCACGAGAAGACACAAAAGACGGCTTATATTACCGAGATTGGAGTTTATTGCTATGACAAGATGCCCTTTTGACTAAAAAACGCAGGGGCAACTTATGAGCGTCTCGTGAATAGAACCTTTCATGCTCAGATTGGCAGAAAGATCGAGATCTACGTGGATGACATGGTGATAAAAACTAATGAAGACGAGCAAGTTGCTGTAGATATACGAGAGATCTTCACAATCTCACGCAAAATTAACATGAAGTTAAACCCTAAGAAATGTACTTTTTGTGTTAGGTCAGGGAAATTCCTAGGATACCAGGTTTCCAAGGATGGAATCAGCGTCGACCCGGCAAGAATCGAGGCGATTTTAGCCATGGAGGCGCCAAAGACAGTCAAAGAAGTTCAAAAAATCACAGGCTCCTTGGCCGCTCTAAACAGATTCCTCTCTCGAGCTGCCGAAAGAAGTCTTCCATTCTTCCATACACTCCGCAAAGGTAGGAAATTTGAATGGAATGAGGAGCACCAAAAAGCCTTCCAGGACCTGAAGGAACACCTTAAGTAGTTGCCCGCATTAGCTAAGCCAGAACCGGGAGAAACTTTATATGTCTATTTGGCAGCTCGAGAGAAAGCCATCTCAGCCGTGCTCGTGCAATGCAAAGATGTCAAAGAAATCCCCGTCTACTTCATCAGTAAAGTTTTACAAGGGGCGGAAACCCGCTATACACCCATGGAAAGACTCATCCTCAACCTGGTCTTAGCCGCTCGACGTCTGCGTCCATACTTTCAGGCACACCCATCATGGTCTTGACAGAGCAACCCATTCAACAAGTCCTACTCAAGCCAGAGGCTTCCGGTAGAATGATGAAGTGGGCAGTCGAACTGGGGGAACACCACATCGAGTACAAACCACAGGCAGCAATCAAAGGACAAGCCTTTGCAGATTTCTTAGTAGA